TGTTGACTGCGACCATGAGACGGAGACTTCTACTCACTTGCGGGAATAGCGGATACGCGAGATTAGCCTAGAAGCTATGAGTCAAGCTTCCGCAGTTGCCAAATCAAGAAGAGCACTACGCACTAAGACGACGCCACCAGGACAGGCGCTTTACCGCGGTGGCGCCTTGGTAGACTACCACCGACCGACCACAACGAAAGACTATTGGGGCGGTTGGGAAGGCCCGCGCCTAGTCGCACGTAATGACCCCGAACGGGCCCAGGCTATCGCGCGTATCGGTCATCGTGAATTAGCCGTTCATTATCCAGACGCACGCCGCACATGGTATATCGAAGTGTCGATGGTTCGAGAAAGTGGCTCTGACATCGCAGCGCTTCGCATTGTACGCGCGGTCGTCGCGAGCCTGCCTGCGGGGGGACCTCTGATGCCCATCGGATACTTACCAACCAAGCAATTGGACACGCGAGCGACCACTGCCAGCAAGCTCTCACCACAGGTACATGTTGCCATGCCGGTTCCTTATCCGAAACTTTTTTGGGGTCGAGAACGTGGTCGCAGTCCGACGTTGTAAGTGCATGCGTCGACTGCCAGTTGCCACTTGCGCTGGCAGTTGCACTGCGCTCTGTTTCGCTACGATAGCGACGCAACACCAGGGTTATACTATTACGAGTCGAATGGCATTGCTCTCGACACATGGATTGTTGCGCGGGAAGTCAACCAAGCCGATGGCTGACTTCGACGAGGGCCGCTCGGTGTTCGACGAGGAGAACCCGGGCGATGCTGCCCATGGAGGAGACGCCCATCCGGCGGAGACGCCCGCCAAAGAGCTTCTTTTCGCCTGCTTGGCGCCCATGCGCGATTCAACGCGAATCTGGGGTCGATCTGGAGGCATGTGTCCATGAAGCCTGGCTTGCGGAATGGCGCGAAGGACGTGAGATTCTTGAGACCATGCAGCGAGACCAAGCCAGCGACCATGCAGTGAGACCAGTCAGTCAGGATCACCGTCGCTAGCGACGACCCAGGCACCGGATTCCGCGAATAAGCCCATCACCACATTGAGGATGCACAATTTCGTCCCCGCCATTTCGCACGATGATGATGCATATGCGATCGACAGCGACACCCACGCTCATTACATAGAGCTTTGCCTCGCGGCTGATGTGGCCAACGTTGTGCTTGCCGGGCAACCGCATGACTTATTGTGCGACGACAGCATTACCAGTATGCGAATATATGGTTCTGTTGCGGCTAAACGCGCGGCAGTTGGTGCAATATGATGACTTGCCAACGAAGGTTGAGATCCACGCTCGCCCAGCACAGGTAGGCATGGCACAGGATACGGAACGGCAGAAATGGTTCGACAACAAGTGCTCTGACATGGATTCCCTCAATGAGCTTCAAACGTCATGACCTCCCGATACGTTTACACATGGAAACCGTCAAGAAAGAAACAGGGGCAATTGTCAAGACGATCCGGCCCCGATTGGTTACCCGAAGACTTGTGGACCGGGAGGCTTGCGACGTCGAAACTATTTCAGGCGCAGCGCGAAGGGCGAGCCAGCGTGTGCTGGCCAGTTTGGGGGCTCGTCAGCCTGATTGGATCATCGCGTTCATGGATATGGGCAAGGCCTTCTCACAGGGCCGGGCGCGCCGCGGAGCTTGCCGAAGCCGCTGGGGGATGTCGGCGCACAGTGTTCTTCGCCCTGCAGCCAGGGCCTGCTTCGGCAGGTCGAACTTTACCTGGATTCGACGAGTGCGACGAAAGCAAGCATTGTCTACAGTGCTTCAGGCCAGGCGCAGGGGCGATGGATACCCATCGCGCCCCCACTGCGAAGTTGCGCAACATCGCGCGCAGCTCTGGAATTCGAGCAACGTCTTGCGACCAAGGGCTCGTGGCAGCGGAGACGCTACTGACGGCCAAATACGTTGACGATAGAAACATGACCGGCATGGAGGAGACGATTGATCATGGGCACTTGCGTGGCACGCGTGAGCTCGAGAACCCCCCTGCGTCGACTGCGACGTCAGATCCACGAAAACCGACAAAGGTGGCGTCGCGTTGGATCAGCTCGAGCACGTTCAACAAATCCGCCCCGCCCGACACCCAGAAACCGTGGGCGCGGAGGCTGAGGACATGGCTGCCCGAATTGTCTCGGTCATGTTTGTTCGCCTCCGCAGGGGGTCGATGGTCTGCGTCGTCTCGCTACAGCGGGCGCAGGAACCAGCGAACTTCCTGCTGCGACGGCTTAACGCCATCGCGCGCGAGCTTCAGGCATAACCTCAACAAGTACTACATGCTGCTACGAAAGCCCTCTGGAGAATCCGATCTCCGCAGCGACTCAGGCAACCGACAGTTCACCAGAGACGCTGGAGACGAGATCAAATGGCATGGCGTCAGAGGTGCCAACCTGGTCAGGCATGAAGACACGTGCGTTGACAAACTTGTCGCACGCCTGGTAGACGACTACTGCAAATCGCATAGACATGCAGGTCAGGTCAAGCTCTGCGGAAGCGCTAGCAGCAGCCCGCAACCTAGAAGACTGCTGCCAGTGCCAAACTATTGTCACACTACACGAACCCGCCCATGTATCAGTGTTATTATTTCTTTTGTCGCCGATGTATATGGCAGGTAAGCTGTGGCGCCGATTTCGGCGGCGCGCCCGGGCGCCCAGGTGCGATGTGGCCCTATAGCCTTATAGCCTCTTAGCTTTGGAGCCCTATAGCCCCAGAGCCCCATAACCCTAGTAGCCCTAGAGCCCAATAGCCTGATAGCCTCAAAACCTTATATCCTTATAGTCCTGTAGCTTCAAAGCCCTGTAACCCTATAGCCCCAGAGCCCTACAGCCCTAAAGAGAGTCGGATTTGTCTTTTCCCCTCCGGTATCACTAAGTCTTATCTAGCAAGAGTCTTAAGGAGCCGACTGGGTGCAAACTTTTTGGTCGCATTAGCTGGATCAGGCAGATGATGGATGCGGGTAGCGTGCGTTGTATACCACTGTGCGACGCGCGGGATATGACTGCTGTTGGACATAGTAGAGACCGCGACCTGTGATTACAAGTACATGTTTGGTAGGCAATCCTTCATGCGCGAGTTGTAGACTTATGCGCCCTACAGGGCTCGAGCATCAAAGGCTGAGCCTGGCCCTCAGTGAGCTGGCGGAACACGCATTCCTTGGGTGTTGTGCCTGCATTTGATTGCGTGGGCCCGCGTTGTTTTTGCGTTGTATGCACGGGTACGCGCCATGTTTCGTTTGCGATTTACCGACTTCGCAGACTCGCACATGACACTTGGCCGAGTCGGGCACGGCTGACCGCGGCCGCTACTTGTGTCACGCGTGAGCACCATGACCTGGCAGCTGCTAGGGCTGAGCCCATTTCCTTAAGGTTATGTGCACACTGCAGCAGTGTGTCGCAACGTGTAGTTAGACGCTCGCCACCGCTTGTCCCCCCCCCCTCCCTCGATTTTGAACGCAGGTGGGAGGGCTGGATGACACGAAGCGAGCGTAGCGAACGTCCGCGCCGCAGTTAGTTTTTCAACCAGTCGGCGTTCTGTTTGCCCAGATCGCACGCGCAGCTAGCGATTCGCAGTTGCATCGAAGAAGACTGTTGCTCGTGTGAGATGCCTTCCACGTCCATAGTTTGCCACCGTTGCTACATTTTTTGATGTCTACCTCAGTTTTTGTTTTCGGAAAGGTCTCGCGTCCTCCGAGCGTGTCCTGTCCAATCAAGTCCGATTGTAAAGGGGGCGGAATTCACCATGGGAGGTTTCAGTGACAATGGAACCACCAAGCTCCGCGCGTTTTTCGGGCGCGCTTCGCGGCCGGGAAGGGTTTCGCTATCTGCCGCCGGCGCTTTTGGGCTGATTTTGGTTGACAGGGTGGCAACTTGGCCTTCCAAGGGCACCCATGTACTCCGTCGTCCCTCATCCTTGCCCCTCCTTCCGAAAGTGATCCCCCTGAAGCGTGCTGTCGGGCCAGCGGCGTCTCCGCCGTGGCCATTCCTGGCGCGAACGGGCGCGGGGGCGTTCGTTCCGTTCCCTATCCAACCCCCCTCTCGCTTCCCGTCCATCCTTCCGTCATCGCGTGCCCATCGTTGCCTTCCCATGTTCTACATGTGCTTGCACGAGCAACGCGCGTCAGAGAAGGGGAGACGGAAGAGACGAGGATGATGTTGCTGGGGATGGATATAAGGAGGAGACTCGAACTTGAACGCGCGTGAAGGAAGGGGTGCGCGTGGCTCCATTGATAAAGGACCGTGACTTCGGGAACGCTGACCCATCGTTTATTGTTTAGCCCTGAACGTCCTTAATATCAGTTGGGCATGGCGAGAGGTTGGTTTCGTGCCGACGGGCGTTTGCGCGTGCTCGGAAGCGGAAGCTTTCCCGTATGAAGAGACCTATGAATTTGATGTTCGGAGAAAAGGAAACCAGAACAGCTCGGATGCCAAGTCGCTGAGTTCAGGCATAAGTTGATGCCGTCTTGGGCAGTCTCGGGAGCGGGGGCTCTTGAGGCCGTGGTGACGCCATCTTGGGACACACTGTGGGGAACGGGGGGGAAAAACCTTGGAACAAGTAAACCAGCATTGAGGTCACTCCAGGTTTGCCACGTGCTTGCCCCTTCCGTGTTGTCTTGGAGCCCGCCTGGGCCATGTTAGAGGCACACACGGGCCATCTTCGCCGCCTGGGACACTCGAGGCGCCGTCCGAGGACTTCCGCGGCCGTCTCCGAGGCTTCGGTCCCACCGGATGGAGATTCGGGCCTACAGCGGTGGCTTCGGGGACTCCAGCCAGCGGCTCTCTGCCACTGGCTCCCTTGTGTGGAAGCAAACGGGTCCCAGCTACCTGAGTCCCTCACGCAGAGCAGTGTCGCAGCTTTGTCGCATTGTGTTGCCCTTTCTCTTTTCTCTTGAACCCGTGAGCCAGTCGTTTTCTTCTCGGTTCCCTGAAGATGCGCCGTTGCCGGGGGCCTGGCTTGCCTGATTGGCGGACGCGCAGAAGACCAAGGTCAGGACGTCTCTGAGGAGGGACCTCGGCGACGTCACCGTGGGCGACGAGTCGGATGTGGAGTCAATCGAGTGAGACATGTTAATCTCGGTATCGTTTAACCGATCTCCATCGCCATCACCATCCCCTTCGAGACCCCCACCAAAATGACCACCCCAGTTGGGGATGCACCCCTCGAAACCCGAAGGGAACGGCCCATATCCCCATCTGGGGGGGTCAGTCGGCCAGTGGGGCTCAGGCCACGCCGCTGGGGATGGGGGTCGCATGAACGATGCTCATGATCCGTGCCTGTACCACTGCGTAGGAATCGAGCAGCACCCTCGCACCTCTCGGCAGCGCGCCCGGGGGGAAGCGAGAGGACACGGGCCTCCTCGGTCCTCTCAGAAGCCCTTCGGCCTTCTGAGGAGCCGTCGCCGTTTTCGGAGAAGGCTTCGATCAACATGATCGACCCACGAGCCCGGAAAGGAATCTAGAAAAGTAACGCATGGCAGCGTTTTCAAAGGCACCCGATTGGGTGACGGGCACATGCAATGCCGAGTGTATCGATCTTGATGTACCCTGCCGAGGGCTGTGCCGTGCTGCACCGTGCTGAATTGCGATGTGCCATGCCGCGATTGTGCTCGATAGCGTCGTGGATCGTGTCCTCCTTTGCATCCGAGTCCTGACCGAACTGAACTGGATCTTCAGCTCGAGCTGCCTGAACACATCGTAGCTGCCCCAGATCCAATTGACAGGGGGACATGCCAGGAGGACGCGCCGCGGAACGTCTCAAGGGACGCGCCAGGCGACGTGCCAGGGGACGTGCCATGGGGTCGCACCGCGGGACGTGCCGAGGGGACGCGCTACGGAACGTGCCAATGGATGTGCCACGGGATGTGCCAGGGGACGCGCCACGCGACGTGCCAGGGGGACTCGCCAAGGGACGCCCCACGGAACGTGCCAAGGAACGTGTCAGGTTGCAATGTTGAATGTATCGATCTTGATGTACCGTGCCGAAATCTGTGCTATGCTGCACCGTGCTGAATTTTGATGTGCCATGCCGCGATTGAGCTCTATAGCTGTGGATCGAGTCTTCCTTTGCATCCGAATCCTGACCGAACTGAACTGGATCTTAAACTCAAGCTGCCTGAACACATAGTAGCTGCCCCAGATCCAATTGACAGGGGGACATGCCAGGAGGACGCGCCGCGGAACGTCTCAAGGGACGCGCCAAGCGACGTGCCAGGGGACGTGCCATGGGGTCGCACCGCGGGACGTGCCAAGGGGACGCGCTACGGAACGTGCTGGGGACAAGCGTTTCGTTCGAGACATCTTGCCAAAATCCTCATGCTAGGCATCCGCCTGAGCGACCTGGACACGTGAAAACAAACGTTTCGCTCAACACGTCCTCAACACATTATCATGCTAGACATCCGCCTGGGCGAACTGGTCACGTGAAAACAAGTGGTTCGCTCGAGACATCCTCAACACATCTTCATGTGAGACGTCCGCCTAGGTGACCTGGGCACGTGAAAACACGCGTTTCGCTCGAGATGTTTTCAACACCTCCTCATTCTAGACATCCGCCTGGGCGACCTGTACACGTGACAGCAAACGTCTCGCTCGAGACATCCTCAACACATCTTCATGTTAGACATCCCCCTGGGCGACCTGGACACGTGAAAACAAGCGTATCTCTCGAGACATTCTCAACGCATTCTCATGCTAGGCATCCGCCTGGGCAACCTGGACACGTGCAAACAAGCATCTCGATCGAGACTTCCTCAACACATCCTCATGCTAGACATCCGCCTGGGCGACGAGGACGCGTGAAACCAAGCGTTTTGCTGGAGACATCCTCAACCAATCCTGGCGCTAGACCTCTGCCTGGGCAACCTGGAAGCGTGAAACCAAGCGTCTCGCTCGAGACATCATGAAGGCCTGGGCACGTGTAAACAAGCATTTCACCTGAGAGATCCTCTGAATTCTGGTCCCCAGGAGAGGACAATCTATAACACAAAACAAGCGTTTCGCTCGAGACCTCCTCAACAAATTCTGACAAAAAAAAGCGTTTCGCCCGAGACATCCTCAAATTTTAGTTCGCCGGCCCACCTCGACCTCGATATTCATCGCAAAAGAAATTCGCCGGCCCGCCTCAAGTCAAAGCCGGTGGTAAACCCACGAAAAGAGAACCCTGGGCTCAAGCCCTTTCCGGGAAAAGCTGCAGGAGGCGCGAGGGCTTGGAGGGGCCCCCGCGCCTTTCGAGCAGGCCCGGGCCCTCTCCTCCCCCCCCCCTTGGCTCGCCGCGGAAGCTCGGCCCCTCGGCCCTCCTACGGCGTCGTCTCGTGCAGGCAGCGCCACCCCTCACTCCGCGCAGGCTGAGCAGGATGCTATAGGATGCTATAGGATGCTGTAGGGCGACGCAATCTATACATATCCACTGCTCCCTGGCCAGGCCCATCCTGAACACAGCAGCTGTGTATACGCCACGCCCTCCTGGTTTGGCCAGGAGGACGTATACACAGCTCCTGGGTTCAGGATGGGCCTGGCCAGGGAGCAGTGGATATGTATAGATTTCGTCCCCCGATGCTGCGCGTCTCTGCTCGCCCCGAGGCTCGGAAATACTGGGGCCGCCGAAGGCGGCGTGTAGTGGCAGCACACATCGCTCTCTCCTGCGGAGGCGCGACAAGGTGAGCGAGACCAAACGCGCTGGCGACTCCCTCCTTCTTCGGCCCTCATCTCTCATCTGTTTTCCTTCCCTCCTTCCTATTCGACTACATGCAAGAGTGGCCTTGCGCCGGAGTGACCTTTAGTGCTTAGGTTTGGTCCTCCCGCGGCCCCTCCGAAAGCCGCGCACCAAAGGTCACTCTTGCCTAGGGTCGTGTAGCCGACCTCCCTCCTCCCCTCGCATCCCCTCTCCCAACGGGGTCGGCTCAGTCTTCCCCCCTCGGGCGTCGCCTTCTCCGAGCTGTTGCCCGTGACTGAACGTCGCTATAGCCGCTCTGTTCTGTTCTGATCCTTCCCTTCCTTGGGCGGCTCTTGATGAGAGGGAGAGGAAGAAAGCCGGGAGAGGGGGGAAGAGGAGGAGGAGGAGGAAGAGGAGGAGGAGAACATAGTAAAAACATCAAGATCAAAACAGAAGGCACTGCATAGACGAATATCAGGGAACGAAAACACACCGACCCCGAGAATTGGATTGGCGTTTGCCAAACAGCACTGGGCGTTGTCTACACGACCCTGCCCTGTTCGATCCCTTCCTTGGGTGCGTTTACCAAACGGCTCTTGTCGGGGGTATTGTCTGCTCTCCAAGTCGGGGGTATTGTCTGCTCTCCAAGACGGGGTATTGTCTTTTCGGGGTGCTTACCATGACGGGGTACTGTCTGCTCCCCAAGAGCAGCCTCGGAGGTCCGCGCGGATATTCTTGGATCGGCGTGCACCCCCCCCATCCATAGCGTTAAGTCGGGCGTGTCCCTTTACAGGAGGATTATCGACGAAAAACATGATCGACCCACGAACCCGGAAAGGAATTTAGATCTGTAAAGCATAGACGCGTTTTCAAAGCAGTGCTGAAGGTGTCGATGGCGATGTGCTGTGCCAGGGGCTGTGCTGTGCCCTGCTGCGCTGACTTGGAATTTGCCATGGTGCGCTGAACTGTGCTGTGCTCAAGTGCGTTGTGGATCAACTCGCCCGTGGCCTCCGAATCCTGGCCGAACTAATTTGGATCTCAAGGCACATACGTAAGAACACACGGATTCGCTGGGGGCCTGGATTACGCTGGATCGTCGTCGTCGTCGCCGCCGCCGCCACCGCGACGTCGTCGTCGTCGCGCTGTCCTCGATCCCTCGATCGTGTAAGCGTGGGCTCTACAGACCCCCAAGAGACCCTCCAAGAGAACCCCCGGAGACCCCCCCACGCAAGGCTCTAAGATGAGACTTTGTCGTCGTCGTCGCCGCCGCCGCCACCGCGACGTCGTCGTCGTCGTCGTCGCGCTGTCCTCGATCACTCGATCGTGAAAGCGTGGGCTCTACAGACCCCCAAGAAACCCTCCAAGAGAACCCCGAGACACCCCACGCAAGGCTCTAAGATGAGACTTTGTCGTCGTCGTCGCCGCCGCCGCCACCGCGACGTCGTCGGATCGTGAAAGCGTGGGCTCTACAGACCCCCAAGAGACCCTCCAAGAGAACCCCAAGACACCGCTCCACGCAAGGCTCTAAGATGAGACTTTGTCGTCGTCGTCGCCGCCGCCGCCACCGCGACGTCGTCGTCGTGGGCTCTACAGACCCCCAAGAGACCCTCCAAGAGACCCCCCACGCAAGGCTCTAAGATGAGACTTTGTCGTCGTCGTCGCCGCCGCCGCCCTGTCCTCGATCCCTCGATCGTGTAAGCGTGGGCTCTACAGACCCTCAAGAGACCCTCCAAGAGAACCCCAAGAGACCCCCCCACGCAAGGCTCTAAGATGAGACTTTGTCGTCGTCGTCGCCGCCGCCGCCGCCACCGCGACGTCGTCGTCGTCGTCGCGCTGTCCTCGAGCCCTCGATCGTGTAAGCGTGGGCTCTGCAGACCCCCAAGAGACCCTCCCAGAGAACCCCCGGAGACCCCCCCACGAGAGGCTCTAAGATGAGACTTTGTCGTCGTCGTCGTCGCCGCCGCCACCGCGACGTCGTCGTCGTCGTCGCGCTGTCCTCGATCACTCGATCGTGAAAGCGTGGGCTCTACAGACCCCCAAGAGACCCTCCAAGAGAACCCCGAGACACCCCACGCAAGGCTCTAAGATGAGACTTTGTCGTCGTCGTCGCCGCCGCCGCCACCGCGACGTCGTCGTCGTCGTCGCGCTGTCCTCGATCACTCGATCGTGAAAGCGTGGGCTCTACAGACCCCCCAGGAGACCCTCCCAGAGAACCCCAAGACACCGCTCCACGCAAGGCTCTAAGATGAGACTTTGTCGTCGTCGTCGCCGCCGCCGCCACCGCGCGTGGGCTCTACAGACCCCCAAGAGACCCTCCAAGAGACCCCCCACGCAAGGCTCTAAGATGAGACTTTGTCGTCGTCGTCGCCGCCGCCGCCCTGTCCTCGATCCCTCGATCGTGTAAGCGTGGGCTCTACAGACCCTCAAGAGACCCTCCAAGAGAACCCCAAGAGACCCCCCCACGCAAGGCTCTAAGATGAGACTTTGTCGTCGTCATCGCCGCCGCCGCCGCCACCGCGACGTCGTCGTCGTCGTCGCGCTGTCCTCGAGCCCTCGATCGTGTAAGCGTGGGCTCTGCAGACCCCCAAGAGACCCTCCCAGAGAACCCCCGGAGACCCCCCCACGAGAGGCTCTAAGATGAGACTTTGTCGTCGTCGTCGCCGCCGCCGCCACCGCGACGTGGTCGTCATCGTCGCGCTGTCCTCGATCCCTCGATCGTGTAAGCGTGGGCTCTACAAACCGTCAAGAGACCCTCCAAGAGAACCCCAAGAGACCCCCCCACGCAAGGCTCTAAGATGAGACTTTGTCGTCGTCGTCGTCGCCGCCGCCGCCACCGCGACGTCGTCGTCGTCGTCGCGCTGTCCTCGATCCCTCGATCGTGTAAGCGTGGGCTCTACAGACCCTCCAGAGACCCTCCAAGAGAACCCCAAGAGACCCCCCCACGCAAGGCTCTAAGATGAGACTTTGTCGTCGTGGTGGACGCCGCCGCCACCGCGACGTCGTCGTCGTCGCGCTGTCCTCGACCCGTCGATCATGTAAGCGTGGACTCTACAAACCGTCCAAGAGAACCCCAAGAGACGTCGTCGTCGTCGTCGTCGTCGTCGTCGTCGTCGCCGCTCCCAGAGCCTTCGGGGCCTCTCCTTGGCCCTCCTACGGAAAATCCTGCAAAACCTAGCGAATTAGTCGAGACATCCTCGAAATTCCTGCGCGCTGGACGCGGCACGCGCGAGACATCCTCGGAATTCCTGCGCGCGAGTCTTCCTTTGCATCCAAGTCCTGACCGAACTGATCTGGATCTGAAGCTCGAGCTTCCTGAACACATAGTAGCTGCCCCAGAGCTAATTGACAGGGGGACATGCCAGGAGGACGCGCCGCGAAACGTCCCCAGGGACGCGCCAGGCGACGTGCCAAGGGACGTGCCATGGGGTCGCACCGTAGGCCGTGCCAAGGGGACGCGCTACGGGACATCCTCAAAATTCCTGCGCGCGGGACGTGGCACGCGCGAGACATCTTCCGAATTCCTGCGAGCGGGACGTGAAAACAAGCATTTCGCCTGAGACATCCTCTGAATTCTGGCCCCCCACGAGGCCCCCGCTCGAGACATCCCCAAGTTTGCAGAAACCAGCGTTTCGCTCGAGACATCCTCAACAAATTATGAAAAACAAGCGTTTCGCTCGAGACATCCGGTCAAAATTCTAAGAAATCCTGACAAAACAAACGAATTAGTCGAGACATCCTCGAAATTCCTGCGCGCGGGACGCGGCCCGCGCGAGACATCCTTGGAATTCCCGCGAGCGGGACACGAAAACAAGCATTTCGCCTGAGACATCCTCTGAATTCTGGCCCCCCGCTCGAGACATCTCCAAATTTTGCGAAAACCAGCGTTTCGCTCGAGACATCCTCCACAAACTATGTAAAATAAGCGTTTCGCTCGAGACATCCTGCCAAAGTTCTAAGAAATCCTGACAAAACAAGCGAATTAGTCGAGACATCCTCGAAATTCCTGCGCGCGGGACGCGGCACGCGCGAGACATCCTCGGAATTCCTGCGCGCGGGGCGCTTTTCCGAGTCGCGGTCGGGGCTCCAGACCCCGTTATTTTTCGAGGATTCTGCGAAAAACGCTCCGCACCCTCTTTTTTACGAGGGAAAGCGGGGGTCTGCGGACCCCGTTATTTATCGAGGATCCGAGATGGGGGGCGAACTTTCCTCGAGCGGGCACGCACAAAACGCACTTTTTCTAAAAAAATCAGCACTTTACCTCGTTATTTATCGCAAATAATTTCGCCGGCGCTTGACCCGTCAGATCCGGGGGTAAACGGCTAAAAGAGAACCCTGGGCCCGCGCCCTTTCCGGGAAAAAAAAAAAAAAACAAGCATTTCGCCTGAGACATCCTCTGAATTCTGGCCCCCCACGAGGCCCCCGCTCGAGACATCCCCAAGTTTGCAGAAACCAGCGTTTCGCTCGAGACATCCTCAACAAATTATGAAAAACAAGCGTTTCGCTCGAGACATCCGGTCAAAATTCTAAGAAATCCTGACAAAACAAACGAATTAGTCGAGACATCCTCGAAATTCCTGCGCGCGGGACGCGGCCCGCGCGAGACATCCTTGGAATTCCCGCGAGCGGGACACGAAAACAAGCATTTCGCCTGAGACATCCTCTGAATTCTGGCCCCCCGCTCGAGACATCTCCAAATTTTGCGAAAACCAGCGTTTCGCTCGAGACATCCTCCACAAACTATGTAAAATAAGCGTTTCGCTCGAGACATCCTGCCAAAGTTCTAAGAAATCCTGACAAAACAAGCGAATTAGTCGAGACATCCTCGAAATTCCTGCGCGCGGGACGCGGCACGCGCGAGACATCCTCGGAATTCCTGCGCGCGGGGCGCTTTTCCGAGTCGCGGTCGGGGCTCCAGACCCCGTTATTTTTCGAGGATTCTGCGAAAAACGCTCCGCACCCTCTTTTTTACGAGGGAAAGCGGGGGTCTGCGGACCCCGTTATTTATCGAGGATCCGAGATGGGGGGCGAACTTTCCTCGAGCGGGCACGCACAAAACGCACTTTTTCTAAAAAAATCAGCA